GGGTACTACGAAAGGAAGTTTATCATGGATTACAAATAAGTCTAAAATTGAATCTTCCTGGGTCGATGCCTGAGCGGTTAATGGGGATGGACTGTAAATTCGTTGGCAATATGTCTACACTGGTTTAAATCCAGCTCGGCCCAATATTTCGACAATCCGCCATGAGGTGATATAACCCCCTTTGTACTTCAGAAATACCCGATCCGGAGATTAAAAAGAATCAAATTTTCTTCTAGATCCCGTATTTCCCTTGGATTGTAGTTCAATTGGAAGCTGCGGGTTCGAGCCCCGTCAGTCCTGACGGATCCAATAAATATATCAATAAATCTCTCCCTTTTTATGAAGGGGACGGGGGGAAGAAATTCATTGTCAAAGCAAAGGGGAAATCCTTATTTCTTTTTTCTTTCCCTTTGGTCGGAGAAAGACATATGCGGTTGGATTAGTACAATTATTGGTAGCATTATAGTCAGTATTCTAAGAAATGCTGGCTTTTTCGATTGTCCCCGATGCATGTATGTAATCGAGTACTATACCTTTTGAGGCATTGCATACACAAAGGGAATTCCTTTCTTGTCCAATACAAAATTGAATATAAGAAAATACTCAGAAAAAACAAAAAACAATTTATTTGTCTGGCACAAGATTCATGGAATCTCACTTACTAGTTTGAAGAGGAAAAATGGATTTCAGGCAACTTGCACACTGAGCTTTTGGTATAGGTGTCCGGGGCTAATAATCTACGAAGAAAGGAGGGGGAAGGACAGATCAAACAAAAGATCCTACTCACTCTTAGAACGGGAATGAATCATTTTTCTGTTTTTAATTTTGTTTTAAGGCCCCATCGACGAAAGAACCGTCGGAAAATAGTAAATTTGATGAATATTCATTTTATACGATCTCATCTTTATCACACTTCTTTGTCTTCCAAGTCAAAAAGGGTTTAGAACGAAACTTTTTTCTTTTTCCATTTAGCTTTTATTGTTTGTTTGGGTTTGTAACTATGTGACCACTGGAAGTGGAAGAGCTATTTGATGAGACTTCATCAGATGATTGTACAAGAAGGAACTAGATAGATTAGAGAGAAAAAAGAACAGATGATAAAAAAATTATAATGATAAATAAATAAAGGAATTTTGGATTGGGTCAGGAATCGAGTTTGGGGCGGTATGGATAAAAGAACTTCCTATGTTATACTATTCAATTCTCGACGACGAATTGATTTGATAGTTCAAGATATTGTTATTCATGATATTGATCCGAATTCCAAGATCATCGAGAGGTAATATTCATTCATTGAATTTACAGGCCAAAGATTTATCATCTCTATGGGATTAAATCCCGAGTTATTGCGAAGTAAAAAACCGATGAGATTATGGAAGTAAATATTCTTGCATTTATTGCTACTGCACTATTTATTCTAGTTCCTACCGCTTTTCTACTTATCATTTACGTAAAAACAGTCAGTCAAAACGATTAAGTATTAACTAATTTGAATGAAACTTGACTTCTGAGTTCTTAGCCAAAATTGACGAAATAAAATGAAAAAGATTCCAATTTCATGTCTTAAATGAAATGAGTGGACTAGAATCAGCGGTATTCTAATGAATAGTATGGTAGAAGATTCATCTATTTCTTTTTCTACCATACTATTTATTGAATTAAATTGTAGTTATATAAAGCTGCCCCTGGAATAAAATAAAGATAGAGGCTGCATTTGATATGGATCTATAGATCAATCTACAATATTATCTTGATATATGTGAATATCAATTCCATATATGGGATTGCCACTTAGCATCAATTCCATTTTATTTGCTATATCTATTTGTTCTGATCAATCTGAATTACTCTATATGTCTTATAGTTTGAATTACTATATTTTTGATTTCCAATTATGAATCTCTAAGTATCTATTGAAAGAATCAAAATCAATGAAGGAAGAAAGACGATACATATAGGCCTATTCAAAAATCACGTAGTAATCTTGTTTTTTTGAACATTCCCAAGAAGTAATTGAGTAAACCATTGACGGTAGTTCCACGGGCATCGAAATGGAAGAGTAAACCTCACTGATTTTTAACGCCTGAACCCGATATGAAATAAGTCGATAAAGTCTAAATCAATTTCAAAAATTCGAAAGCGGTAAATGCCAATATGTGACTCACCCTGACGATCTTCTTCTGCATAGTATCTCGTTGAACAACCACTATGTTTATATCCTTTCTTTCTCATACAAAGTGCGTATACATAACAAAACCACTTCTTCTTTGAACAGTAAAGAGAAACAAATAAAAGGTCAGCCCTCTCAGTATCACCTAGTAAGATAAAGAGGCCGTTGATTGGAATAGAAAATTTAGGAAGAATTAGGTTCGAATAAATTTCCTGAGATCCCTCTTCCTTTCGAACTACAAACACGGGAATCGTTGAAATAGCTCTTTGATTGAAAGAGGATGATTCCTATAATACATTACTCAGTAGAGTCAATGGAATTTCAAAATGAAGATATTTTTATTTTGTTCAAAACGTGTTGCAGAACGATCTAGAAAGCAATTGCTATTGATACAGTTTGCTTCCTTAACTCAATTAGTAGACGGTCCCTCCTTCCCCACACTACGAGTGAAAGGAAAAAGTAAAGACTACCATTAAAGCAGCCCAAGCAAGACTTACTATATCCATATGAATTATGTCCCCTATCTCTATAAATATAAAGGAATTGCTCCATTATTCCTCACTCATAATAGTGGAATCAATGGCGCAGAGTCAAAAAAGAACGAAGACTATTAATAAAGCCAATCCAATAAATTTAACATTTTAGAAGAAATTCCTATATGATTTCTAATCGGGAAAGATTAAACACAAGCAAAATCCGCAGTAACATCTCAGGGGAATGTACACAATGGAACATGTAGGAATAATAGGTCCTATTCTTTTTTGTTGACCCTCATTTCAGTGATTGGATGCTTGAGCACTCAGAGATTTTCGTGAGTTCCTCGTATATAATAAAGTATCTTCGCCCCCTTCCCACAACTATTTAGATTTCCTATCGGGCTCTCAATCTAATCCAAGGTCCAGTCATTATACAATGCATTAATAATCTAAAATTTTGATTTGTAGTAGAAGGTAATTGCGAAGTCTTGATAGCCCCTCTAGCATTCAAATATTTCCTTGAAGCCTAAGCCTAAATATGCAATGCAAGGATATTTACAATTTTTAGAAAAACCCCCAGACTTCAGATGTTTAAAATCAAACAAGTATCAACAGTCTGCTTTCTCTGCTTCTGCTGGGAATCATTCGGCAAGTTATATCAACAGAGAAGAAAAGAAGAGATTTCTAGTTTTATTTGATCCAGGCGACACCGGATTTGAACTGGGGAAAAAGGATTTGCAGTCCTCTGCCTTACCACTCGGCCATGTCGCCAAAATGCTACAAATACAAAAATAGATGAAAACTTTCCCGGATTACTGAACTGCTTTTTATTGGACTTGCACGCCCAGGTTCTGTTTTCCTGACTTTTTCCTAAAAGTCAAGGAAATCCTAATCCTTCTTCCCTTTTGATTGGGTTTGATTCATTCTTTCAATTTCGATTGAGTCTATCTCAAAATTCATAATGTTCAAAACTTTCTATCTACCTTTCTATTGAAAAATCAAATGTGGATTTTTCAGTCGCAAAATCCAAAATTCCAACTTTATGAAAATAGGAACCGTGGCAGCTTGACTTAGAATGCATGAATGATTCTTGATTTGAATTTCCAAATTTTGTTTTCCTAATGACATAAGAAAACACAACTTGATATATAACTAATCAGTATGGATTTTTCAATCAAAAAATCCTTTCAATTCACACAATTATTAATTATAACAACAATTATGAGTATATGTAAACCCCCAAGAGAAATTGTTAGACGGATATATATTATTTTTATATGTTCCCGATATAGAATTATCAGATATCAGAAAAGTATCATACTTCAATTTTCATTTTGAATAGAAAATTTCAATTCTGTTTTCGTAGAGCACAGCCTGTATTTGCCCCGAATAGAACATAGAACGACAATAAAACAATAAAAGGAAAGAAAGACGGATATTATAGATATCTCCACGTGTTTAAGCCATACAAACCTTCTTTCTTGCCACACTTCACAATCGTATTCTACTCAAAATCCGTAAACAAAGTCTCTCTTCTCTGCGAATCTGTTTTGACCAACTAAATCCATAACATAAAAAGGGGTTTTAATGCCAAAAAACCGATTCTAATTCTATATATTCTTTCTGATTTTGTACGCTTTATCTCAGCGAAAAGATCAAATGTCCAATCCATTTATTTTTCTGGTATTCAAGCAGGTTGGAATATGTATTATCATAATATTGTTTAGAAATGGAATCATTTTTGTTTTGATATTCTATACGAAATCCTATAACTTAATTAATAAGTCTAAGTAGCAGAAGTCTGTTTCTAGGGATGTTTTATCAATTTCTTTCCATTTTGTATCTGTTGAAAATTCCAATAAATTCCAATTCAATTTAAGTAGAAAATTCTCTTTCTTCCTCCGTTCATACGTATTTCATACATTCCAGATATGGAGTTGGGTAAAATTTCATGTGATTCGGTAAACAAAATAGAAATGCCATCATTGCTAGATCATTTATCTAATCTATCTAATTAGATGAAGAATGAACCAACAGTATTTTTGATAAATGAAATTAAAAATGCTCGAGGGATGGAAATGAGGAATATCTACAATACCTGGATTTAATCAGATACAATTTGAAGGATTTTGTAGGTTCATTGATCAAGGTTTGACGGAAGAACTTTATAAGTTTCCAAAATTGAAGATACAGATCAAGAAGTGAATTTCAATTATTTGTGGAAACATATCAATTGGTCGAACCCTTGATAAAGAAAGAGATGCTGTGTATGAATCCACTCACATATTCTTTACAGATTATATGTATCCGCCGGATTAATTTGGAAAAACAGTAGGGATATGCAAGAACAAACA